CCGGGACTCCTCCCTGGGAAAAATGCATGTTTTCTATCTCCATGGTCTTTGGCCAGTGGTCCTCTTTGGACACCATACCATCTACCATACAAACCTGTTCCAGCGTCTTTCACTGCTGTGACCACTCCCCTGGGGCAGCCCTTTCTTCCTCAGTTTCTTATCGGTGAAGTATGGCTAAAGGGAGGGTTCAATGAGTTAACCTCTGGGAAGCACTTAGAACAGTGCCTGTGCCCAGGAAGTCCTATGCAACCTAGATGATTTTGAGTTCTTTCTAAGGGTCTGTGTTTCAATGAACTACCTCCCACCTCTGCTTAACTGATTTGTTTCTGCACAAACGGACACAATTACTCAGTGGAAAAGCACTGAGGTAGCCCCTGAGCTTATGGAGAGCCGCTCATGGCCATTTGCTGCCATGGTGGCTGTTCTGGTTACCTAGTGCCGCTCTGACAAGAATATACCACAAATGGGATGGCCTTAACAAACAGGAGTTTATTCTTTTACAGTTTGGAGGCTTTAAGTCCAAGTTCAAAGTGCCAGGCTCTAGGGGCTATGTGAAAGCCCCTCAGCCTTAGGGTTCAGCTCTGCCTCCAGCTCCTGGCCCACTGAAGCTAGAGGCTTTTCTTCACTCAGCTGCTGGCTGCTAAGGCTGCCAAGCCCAAGGTTGACAAGTAAAAAGGCACAGTCCCAATATTACCAAATCACATGGCAGGCCATTAATTCAAGTCCATTGTAAGTCCCAAGGTCGGTACAGCAGGGCAGGCTGCTGAACAATGACAGAGCTACATGCGGGGTTCAAGGTGCCATAAGCTAGAGACTAGCCCTAAGGCTTCTCCTTATATACAGGAAGCAGACCACATCCCAAAGGCAGCTACTCACCTGTTTGTGGTAGATCCCACCATGGAGTTGATTGCCAGTCTCATCATAGGGAATAATTACCACCAGTTGTCCAGCCACTCAACCAGGCCCAGTCAAGCTGACACACAAACATAATCACCACAGTGGCCTAGAGGCCCATTTGTCCAAGCCTTCAGGGGTTGGGCCCAGCTCCCCAATCCATGGAGGAGAAGGCTACTGAGAAGAAGACCTAGGAGGTGGAGCCAGAAAGTACTGGAACCCTCTTGTTGGAGGGTCTGTACAGGGAAGCAGGGTTTCCACACAGACTATGTGCTATAAGCCTCAAACATTGTTTCACCAAAAATCATCCCCAAAAACACTCACAAAGTTTACAAAATATTCTTATGAAGGGGACTCTTCTTCTTTTTAACAGGAAAGAGACATGCGAGGCCAGTTTCTAAAGCAAGGGGCAGGTTGACAGCTGCCTGGGCCTGTATCCACAGGCCTCATCATGGCCACTGCCCAGGCCTCAATGTGGGGCTCAGCCATTCTGTTTGTGCCTCTCACTGTAGGAGAGACCATTGTTCATGGCCGGAGGGTTTGAAGACCTGGGCTCCAGGCCTCAGCCTGGCTCTAACGCACTGGAATTTGGGACATCCCAACACCTGTGTGCACATCAATTTCTTCACCTATTTAATGTAAGAGGGGTGTGAAGAAAGAAGAACAGAAACAACCATTGATGATTGATGGCTTCCAACATCTGGTCATTAAATGGGGTGGCGTGCCCATTAGCCCCACAGTCTACCTGGGAGGGTCAGCACAGGATAGGCATGCTGCTCACATAGGGTACATGTAGAGCTAAGATCTAGTCTTCCCTGGCTGTCAGCCATGGTCTGTCCCACTAAATACAGGCCACTATCCCTGGCCCAAGGTCTAGCTTTAGGGGCTGCCTGGCACCTGGGTAGTTTTCAGACCGTTGGCTGCATGACTAGCAGTTCTACCCTTTTCCCCTTGAGTCTCTACCTGGAGTGGCTTCTGCTGGGCCACCCATAAGGAACCCTTCTTCCCTGAGTGGAACTGTGGAGATTGACTTTGGTCCAAACACCTGCTGGGGAATGGGACCAACTAGAACTTGCAGAATATTACTTTATAAAAAATTCAGCATCGATTGTTAAGGGGCCTCTGGAAACCTATGATCAATTAGCAGTGGAGGGGCAAGGGCAAACACACTAGTAAGCTACTAGCCCATCTGACCAGAGTCCATTGGTCAAGAAACTTATGAAGACAAACTGAGGTAGAACTCTAAGGATGGATAACTTGAACCCAGAAATTCTGCTTTTTGAATGGATTCTTAGGCTCTGCCATATGGAATGTCCCCTCCTTCCCCTTTACATAGCAATGCCTTCTAATTTGCAACTTCCCAAAGCAAATGGTGTCTCCTGCATTGGACTCCCTCTTCTATGCTTAGCTCCCCTGTGGAGCTGGGCCTGGAGGTGCTGCCTTCTCTGGACAGTGCTATCACCCCAGGTTACCCAGGTTGCCCTTTGTTCCTGTGGCCCTAGCATCAGATTATAAGCACCTGTGTTTACGTGTCTCCCACAAATAGTGTTTATAGGTAGAAGGGCTACCCAGACACTTGCTGAGCAACAGTTCATGCTGGTTATCTAAATGCTGGCAGCAGTAAGACATCACCTCATTAGTTACCATACTCTCACGGGGCAGAGTGTCTGGCTGAGAAAGTAGAAATTATCCAGAGGATACTCGGATGCTGTGCTGCATTTGGCCACCATGCCAGGAATGAGAGGGAGCCATGCTGCTCCTGGGGTGAAGGAAGAGATGGCATGAAGGCAGATGGTGGGGATGGGGTAGAGGAGAGCAGGTGGGAGCAGTCCCTGGGCTACATCTCTCCTCTCAGCCTTCTCCTGGGGCCCAAGAACAGCAAGGATGGCTGGAGTGCACTTTTGTCTGTCACCAGAGAGGGGCTTATTCCCTTTTGTCTACTCTGAAGGTTCAAACTGATGTTGGACAAGCACCAGGTAAGGTCAACACTGTATTCCAGTTCTACCTATGCCCGTTTGGCCAGGTGACCCAAGTGGTTCCTTCCTGCCAGGGAACCACTGGGGGCTGGACCAGCAGATGATTCCAGAGCTCCTTCCAAGCTCCACTGACATCCCCTTATCCTAATGTGTCAGCTCTGTGGAGCTAGGGCAGCTCCAAGGCACAATGAGCACCTTCCCTTCCCCTGGCACCATTGCTGAAGTTCATTTGGTCCCTGGTACTCAGCCCTGGGACTAGTCCCCTCTACTTATTTATTTATTTTTTTTTCACATTCACCCAGTCCTTTCAACTGGATTAATTGTTCTTCTTATGATCCCCTCCCAAAGGGAGCTCAAGCCTGATTGGGCTGCACCCTGCCTTGTGCTGTGGTGTCTGGTGGTCTTACCTGTCTCTCTCCTGAGGTGGGGGCCCGAAGTCTGCATGTAGCAGGTACTTCACAAACATGCCATTATCTTTCTCTAGCAGAGCAGTTTTCTCTGACCACTGATATCTTTCAGGGACCTGGACAGAGTGTCCAGATGCTGGCCTGGATTCCAGGTCCTGAGTAAGGTCATTCTTGTCTCTCCTAAGACCTGCGCTAAGCCTGAGAAGAGCAAAAACCCAAAGCAGAGAAGCCAGTACTATGGCTAAAAAATTAAGAAAGAGCAGTAAAGGCAAAAACATTTCTTACTGATCACATATTTTTCTTTGAAGTTAAAGTTTTTAAATAATATAGAATTTGCTGCTTCATCACATGGGGCCACACAGATCATTTCTCTACTTCCTTCCTGGGATTCCCACCTCTGGCCTGCACCTGACAATGCTTCCTCCCTCCCATTTGTTTCTACATTGGTCCTAAGGAAGGTAGGCTCAATGAGAGTCCCTGTGTGTTCCCCTTGGTTTCAGATTCTCTCACATTGTCCCAGGTCTCACTCTTTGACTTGACTGTCAGAACTGGAAGTGCTAATGGCCTGGGGCAGAATCTTGCTGAGGACTGAAGAAGCTGAGTTTTGTTCATCTGTGTGTTTCATGAATGCTGTCTAAGAAGGAGTCAGCATTGGGAAGTCCTGATTCCTTGCCATATTTACTCCCCATGCTGTACACACACCATGAAAGTCAGAATTGCAAACACCTGTGCTTCTTGTCCAATAGAGGGCTATGGGGGTGCCATCATGGATTTTCCTTGACTACTGGCCAATCTTGCTGTCCTTTAGTTTCCCAGGGATCTTTGTCTAAATCAGACATAAAAGTGGCCAGAAGAAGGTTTATCCTTTCTCTCAGCTATTCACATTTCTGTCCCCATAAAAAGCTAATGGGAGAAAACAGCAACTGCTATCTCTGCAGCAAAGACACTTGTGACATGACTGAAGCCTGGCCATACGGGAGTCTGTCTGACCAGGCAGGAACTGTGACATGTGCCACCCATGTGGCTGGTGGCTGGGTCTGCCTGCAGGGTGATTTTTACCACTGAAATGGCACCTTGCAGGAAGCTCAGTTGTAAAGACTTGGACAGAAAGCCAGATCTTTTAGAAGCTTACTTTAGAAGAGGGATCAAAAACTATACAGTAAATATTTTAGGTTTTGTGGGTCATGTGGTTTCTGTGGCTACTACCCAACCAACTCTGCTGTTAGTGCAAAAGCAGCCACAGACAGCACATAAATGAATGAGCATTGCTGTGTTCCAATAAAACTTTATTTACAAAAATTGGTGATGGGCCGTATTTTGTAGATAGACCTCTGTTCTAGAGGGGCTTTTTTTTTTTTTTAAACTTATATCTAAGACTTATTATATTATATAAACTATATATATATTAAATTATATAAACTATATGTTGTTGAAAGGGAACAACAACACAAGCTATTATTATTATGGAATTATTATTTTTCTTAATATTTTAAATTAAGCAGTGTCTTTAATGTTATTTTCAATGAAAAGAATATTCATACATGCATATTTTGGCAGTTTGAGCAGCAACAATCACTGCTGAGTGTGCACATAGTTGCTTCTCAGTGTATTCCCCACAATTTGGTCTCCGTTGTTCCCCTTGCCCAATCAGAGCCCTTTAAATGGTGCTGCATCCCCCCAACCCCCCATGCCTATCCCCCTGCCCACCTGGTACTGGGCCTACCTTGTTCTCTTTGCTGATCTCTCTGCTCCATGGACACGAGGGCAGAGAAGTGAGCTTGATCATAGGCTAGAACCAGAGGTGAGCAGTGGCATCTGTTGGGAGGGACCTCCAACGGCAGGTAAATCCCTCCAAATGGGATTGGGGCGAAAGCTGAGGACACAAACAATGACAATGGTTTGTAGCAACAGGAGGCCTGGAGCTGGGAGGGAACAGCAATTCATCCCTATCTTCCTGGGGCCTTGTGAGCCCAGGAAGGCTGTCCCCACAGCTAGGAGTAGAGTGGGGAGGGGGGTTAGCTACTCCTCACCCCAGCAGAGAGGAGCTCTCCTGTGGGCACTTAATGCCCACACAGGAGTTCATTAAACCGTCACAGCAGTGAGAGCTAGGTGCTGTTGGACAGATGGGGACACTCAGGCTCAGAGGGGCCAGGCCTATCTGTCCCTGAGTCCTGTGCATGCCTGGGGACTTTGACCCACCTACCTCCCTGGTTCATCTCTGTGCCCCTTCAAGTTGTACACTAGGGACAAGGGTATAGGGCTGAGGGGTGGCCACTGTGATAACCTCACAGTTCTGCTGGCCTAGTGTTGTAGACTAAATTGTGTCCCCCAAAATATGTGTTAAAGTCCTGGCCCCTGTAGTTGTGGATGCGATCCTGTTTGGAAATAGGGTTTTTCATTTGTTATGTTATGTGATCATTACTAGTATAGGGTGGATCCCAAATCTAATCATTTAAGAATTATAAAAAGAGCAGGACAGACAGAAACACACAGGGGAAGGCACCACATGAAGAGAGATACACAAGGCAGGTGCATCTTCAAGTTTAGGAATGCCAAGGATTGCCATAGCTACTAGAAACTAAAACAGTCATAGAAGGACCTTCCCCTAGAGCCAGTGCCCTGACTTCAGACTTCTAGTCTCCTGAACTGTGAGACAACACATTTCTGTTTTCCTAATATACTTGTGGCATTTTTATTATGGCAGCACTTAGGAACTTAGACACCTGGGAACAGGATGGCTGCCACGTGACCCACCCAGGTGATCGAAGGAGAGGTAGGCCAGAAAATACAGAGGCCAAAAGTCATGCAGGTGCACTGATGTCTGCCTGGAAACATATTTTTCTAAAGTTACCCTTTCTTGTTCACTAAGGAGGTCTGGTGGCATAGTGCCTAAGGCATTTGACTGCTAACCAGAAGGTTGGCAGTTCAAACCTACCAGCCACTCTGTGGAAGGAAGACTGGGCAATCTACTTCCATGAGGATTTACTGCCTCAGAAACCCAAAGGGGGTCACACTATGAGTTGGAATTGACTCGATGGCACTGAGTTAGGTTTTTTTTTTTTTTTTTCTGGTTTTCATTGTTCACTGAAACATTGTTTTGTTTTAAAACAGCATCTTGAGAACTTCTTTGTTCTGTATCTTAGACCTTGTCTCTTAATTCTGAAGAAACCAGACAGCTTTAGCTGGCAAGTTCTAGGTTAGAGGGGAAATGAAAAAAAAAGGGGATCCAATCTTCTAGTGATAGGGACACAATGTTACTCATTTTCTTATTCTTAAAAAAGCAGTAAGGAGAGCATAGAACCCACATGGCAACAGAACTTCAGGAAATGTTGGAAGTGGCACCTGCTTTTTAATCAGAAAGAATCCTCCTTTTGGCCCCAGAGTCTGTAATCACTTATTTTACTCACAGGGGGTCAAATGAGTGGACAACCAGTTCCCATGACATCTCTGATGAATTCTCAGGGTTTCCCTTTGCCCTCCCTTTGTCTAAATAATTTAGTACAGTTCTGCCCACAGGAGACTCCCACTAGAGGGGATGAGTCTCTTATAAAGGACTGCATCTCTGCCCCCAGATGGGATGAAAAAAGAGTGGACCCCACCACAGGGGATCAGACTGAACTGGCCACATGGGTGCTAAGCTGACCCTCAGGGAGCAGTGAGACTGGTAGGAGAAGGTGGTGTCGGGTAGCACAGATATATGCCAGTTCCTTATCTATCTGATCTTCATGCTACCTAAGTCTCTGGCAGTTGTGGATTGAACATGGATAGTGCACCCTAACTTGTACAATGGCCTAGAAGACCCATTTTTTCCAAAGGCACAGATTTAAAGTTGGTTCAGCAGTGATTATTGGGCTAAGGTGAGTCACTTGTCACTCCCTATCTGGCTGACTCGATGGCACATAACAACAACAACAACAAATCTGGCATTTACTATCATGGGGACCTGCTTGTGGATGATTATTTCCTGATAACAAAAGGGGAGACATGGCACCAAAGGAAACATGGCTAGTGCTGGTTACTGAAATTAAGAGAAAATGAAAAATCCTAAGAGGGACTGTGGTATAGAGGGATGTTGGGGCAGAGGGACTGGGTTGACCCAGGAAATTTACTCATTGCATAAGTGGCCCAGTCCTCATGGTCTACCCCCTCTAATCACTTTCCTTTTACTCTCCTGTCCTGAGAAAGTGTTGGCCCTGCAGTTCCCCTGGCCTCAAGGAGTCAGAGAGCCATGGGGTGGAGTAGAGGAAGTGCCGACAGGAATACCCGTGTTGAGATTGAATAGGGTCCTCCACGAACTCAGCTGTGTAACTTGTGTGCATTACTTAGGTTCCCTGCACAGGAAGGGCACATTTCACTTTGAGAGGTAGAGGTGAGGGTGGACAAGATAATACACATAAAAGGGCCATGATGCGCAGTACTAGGTTCTTGGGGCTCGGGGTGGACAGCCCTTGGCTCCTTCTTTACTTGTTTCTATCACAATCTTGTCAAGTTCTTTCATGCTTTTTATCTTCTAAGATACTCTTTAAAACATGTATAGCTGCAGAAGGAGTGGACAGAGACTAGAGCAGTGAGCAACGCTGGGCTAAACGCTAGTATTCATTAAAGGGGTGTTATTGGAAGGAAGGTTGGGTAATCTACTTCCGTAGTGATACCACATCGGCAACCCAAGGAGGGGTCGCTATGAATCAGGTCTGACTTGATGGCACATAACAACAACAACAACAACATTGGCCTTTAGGCTACCCTGTGAGCATATGGATGAGGGTAAGGTAGGGGGTAGGGGTTCTGGATTTAATTCCAGCTCAACATAGCCAGATTTCTCATGGTTGCCATGATGGTTAATTTTGTATGTCAACTTGGCTAGGCTATAGTTCCTAGTTGTTTGACTAAATATTAGTGTAGTTGCACTTCCATGATGTAATCTAATGCAATGTAATGCAGTCACTTTCCATAATGTAAAAAAATCAGTCAGTCAGTCGAAAAGGGAGTTTCCTAGAGTGTGTTTTGCTCCCAGATGATAAATAGATACTTTGGCAGAACTCTCACTTCATTCTGCATTCTTTCTCTGTGCATTTCTTAACCTATGGATCTTGGACTTGCCAGCCCCTAACAATCACTAAGCCACATTCTATTTATATAAGAGGGGAGATGGCAAAAGTGATCTTTTCTGCCATAAGGCAAGAAAAGCACATCAAGTAGGGGAGAAATGATGACAAATAGCGTGATATTTGTTCTCACAGAGTAATACTCTGAGATCTAGAAGCTCAGTCCTTATGTTATACTCTCTCTTTAACTGAAATGCTAAGTTTTCTGGGTCATGAATAAGATATATCTAAGGAACTTACCTTCTCCACCTGAGTCTCTTAGCATTGTATCTGCTACAACAACGATCGGTCTTCTTAATATATGGGCCAGGACAAAAACATGGAACTCTTCTAGACTCTCATAGACAGGATCCTCTGAGTTGTCCACGCTAGGAAACAAAGCAAAGCAAGCCTGTTACCAGACTCTACAAAAATGGAAGATGGAGAAAATAAAGAATATTCCATGCAGGGTCAGATACCTTCCCTTTGGAATTTTAGCTCCCTTGTCCCTGCAATCACTGCTAGCTGAGGCAAACTCCCATGCTATCCACTGAGTGGCGAATGCACAAGTGCTAGTACCTCACCCTCACCTGGGACTGAGCATTCCCAGGAGACATGAACTTGAAGGTAATCGTTTCTGGCCATCTCTAAGATGAGGTCTCTTAGGTGGCAGTACCTAAGGTACCACTGTGGTAGTAACATGGCGGCTGGTCTCTGGGGAGGCTGGCAAGGAGGAATGGAGGATTCCTTGTCAGTTCATTCAGTTCTCCAGAACTGGAGCCTTCTCTATCAGAAACTAGGTACACCCAGGCACAGCTGGCAGGCTGGTGGGGTTCATTATTAAGAAGATCTCAGAGGCGTTTGGAAAGACTCCACACCATGGAAAAGGGCATGGGCTAAGCCTCAAGCCTCAGAGTCAGTTGGGAGGGAGTGACTCTGAATGCTTCCTAGGCCACTTGGGCTCTCACAGCCAGGGCCCCACTCATGTCTGAAGCTCAGCAAGAGCAGGCTCCAAAAACTGATGTCGCAAAAAATTCTGAGCAGTTGAATGTGACCTTGACGTTCTTTAACAACATGGCTACCCCAGAGGGAAGCAAATATTGAGAATGCACCCTTCATAGCTCATTGAGGTCACAGCTTCATCTGTAGTTCCAGCCCAGGTGGCAATGCACAGCCAAGACCCCCAGATGGCACTTCAGCTAGTTCATGAGCACCCCTTGGATGTTTAGAATGAAGTAAGGGAGGTCTGTTAGGTGGGGGCTAGAGCCAGCACAGTGAGGCCCTGTTTGAAGGTGCAGGTGGTATGGTCTGGGGAAACAGTGATGCACATACACAGCTCTCAGCCAACTGCTTAAATTGCTTGTAGAACAAGGGCTGCAAATCTTAGGAATGCCTCATGATCACATAGACAGTTCTGTTGCTGTTGTTATAGTCTCTAAAAACCAGAAAACCCCCCAAACTTATTGCCGTTGAGTCGGATATGACTCATAGCGACCCCTCCTTGGGTTTCTGAGGCAGTATCACTACGGAAGTAGATTGCTCAGTCTTCCTTCTGAGGAGTGGCTGGTGGGTTTGAACTGCCAACTTTCTGGTTAGCCTTAGGCGCTACACCACCAGAGCTCCTGTTACAGTATCTACCTATTTATTATTTCTTCTTTCTTTCTTTCTTTTTTTTTAATGGCCCAATTTACTATAATTTTGAAATTTGGCAGGGATCAAAAACTCACAAAAAAGTTGCATGCATAGTACAAAGAGCTTTTATTTCCCTGAACTATGTTTGTTTCCTAAGGCTGTCATAACAAAATATCATGCAACATGGAGGCTTTAAGACAACAGGAATTTATTGTATCAGTTCTAGAGGCAGAGGGTCTGAATTCAGGGACTTGGCAGAACCTTACTCTCTCTGAAGGTTCTAGAAGAAGATCCTTCCTTGTCTCTACTAGCTTCTAGAAGCTCCAGGCATTCCTTGGCATCTTCACATGGTGTCCATCCTCTGTCTGTCTCCGTGCATGCTTTCCTCTTTTTTAAGGACACCACTATTACTGAATAAGGACCTACCCTACTCTAGTATGACCTCATGTTAACTGATAACATCTTATCAGAAGTACCCTATTTTTTTTAAGGAAAAATATTTATTTATTTATATTTTAAAATTTTTATTGTGATGTGGGTGAAAGTTTACAGATAAAATTCATCTTCCACACAGCAGTCTATACATTTTATTTCATAACATTGACTGCAGTCCCCACAATGTAACAGCTCTCTTCCCACTTCTTCTCTGTAGTTCCCTGTGTCCTTCTTTTCTATACATTCCTGCCCCTTGAGATATCTCCCTGTGCAAATACTGCCCTTCTGTTCTCCCATGCCTGCTAACCAGAAGGCTGGTGGTTCAAACACACTAGCCACTCCTCAGAAGGAATGCTGGGTAATCTACTTCTGCAGTGATACCACCTTGTAAACCCAAGGAGGGGTTGCTATGAGTTGGATCCAACTTGATTGCAGTGCGTTTGGTTTTGGTTTGGTTCTCCCATGATTGATCGTTGTAAGGAGTGTATCTCTCTGGTGTAAATGTTCATCCTGTATGCCTGTCTATTGTTTGGCTTAAAGCCATGGGAATGAGTTCAATTCCAGGCCTGAAGGGTAATGAGGGGCCACAGTCTTGGGGGTTTCACCAGGTTCTATCAGGCCAGTAAACCTGGTCTTTATTTATTTATTTATTTTAATTTTTACTGTGATTTGAGTGAAAGTTTACAGATCAAGTAATTTTCCATACATCAGTTTATACACATTTTGTTTCATGACATTGACTACAATTCCCCACATTGTAACAGCTCTCTTCCCTCTTCCTTCCCATAGTTAACTCTTCCCTGTGTCCTTCCCTCCCACTTACTCTTGCCCCCACCAAGCTGTCTCACTGTGTAAACAAAGCCCTTCTGTTCTCCCATGATTGATCACTCCAAGAAATATATGTTCAACCCATATGCCTGTCTATTTGGCTGGGAGCCACAGGAGTGAGTTCAGTACCAGACTTGAAGAGTAACTAGGGGCCACAGTCCCAGGGTTCTCACCAGGCTATACCAGACCAGCAAACCTGTTTTTTTTTTTTTTTTTTCCCCCACCCCTAATGATTTTGAGTTTTATTCCACATTGTCCTCCCATTCTGTCCAGAATCTCCTGCACTGATCCCTTTTCAAGTTGTTGACAGTGGGAGCCAGGCACCATCTAGTTCTGGTCTCATGGTCATATAGGCTGAAGTGTGCATGGCCCACTAGTCCCTTGGACTAATTGTTTTCATGTATCTTTTGTTTTTCATTCTTCTTTGTTCTGGATGAGGAGAGACCAATTGTCATCTAGATGGCCACTTGCAAGCTTCTAAACCCTAGCTACTCACCAAAGTAGGATATAGAACAATGTTTATGTGTATTATGTTGTTAGGTGCTGTCGAGTCGTCTCCAAGTCATAGCGACGCTATCCACAGAGGAAGGAAACACTGCCCGGTCCCGCACCAACCCCATGATCCTTGCTATACTTGAGCCCATCACCACAGCCACTGTGTCAATCCATCTTGTTGAGGGCCTTCCCCTCTTTCGTCGACCCTCCACCTTACCAAGCATGATATCCTTCTCCAGGGAATGGTCCCTTCTGATAACATGACCAGAGTAGGTGAGATGAAGTCTGGCCATTCTTGTTTCCAAGGAGCATTCTGGCTGCACTTCCTCCAAGACAGATTTGTTAGTTGTGTTAGCAGTCAATGGTACTTTCAGCACCACAACTCAAAAGCATAAATTCTTCTTCGGTCTTCCTTATTCACTGTCCAGCTAACACATGCATATGAAGCAACTGAAAATATCATGGCTTGTGTCAGGCATACCTTTGTCCTCAAGGAGACATCTTTGGCCCTCAGCACTTGAAAGAGGTCCTTTGCAGCTGATTTCCCCAGTGCTATACATCATCTGGATCCATATTTGTACTCATTCCAAAGAAAGGTGATCCCACAGAATGTGGAAATTATAGAACAATATCAATATCGCAC